AATTATACTCATATGATTAGACAGTTTTTTCCATTCTAGTTTTCCATAACACTAGCTCTCATATTGTCGGTTATCCATTAAGATACTTCCCTTTCCTTTAGTTTTATGCTTTTTAAATAGCAATCTTTTTTAGTAGCTATATATACACACATCTTGTTCTGAACGAAATAAATGTTGAATCGGAAAGGTATCAAAGAAAATTTATTCGTGCAAGTAGAATGCTTTTTTTTAAACATGACTCATTAATATTAACTTCCCGATCAAAGAAAGTTACATACTTTAGAGCGAAACTAAACAACAGCCTGGTAACAAGCATAATTCATTGAATCTACCATTCTTACGTTCGTATTTACAGAGATTAGAATCCACGGTTTCATGAGCTTAGAAAAACTTCTTATTCGCTTTTTATGCTGTTCACTGCACCATATTATCTGCTAATTTGGAAGTATATATTTTGTATTCATACAATTTTTGTATAGTGTTTGTATATAGCATTAATTGTCTTTAAGCTTCAGCTAAAAAGCTACTCTTCTTAACCAGCGCCATTGAATGTAAAATAGAAGAATATTTCAAGAATTATCCATTAATAAACATCTCTTTAGAAATTATTGCGATTAAGATTAGAGGCTCATTTGAATATCTCAGATATTCCTTTTTTTTATTGGTAGAATGCTCGTGGACCTTCTTTAATATGAACATATCAATAAAATGTCAAAGTTCCTTTGTACTTCATATTATCATTTATCAGAAAATAGAAATACAAATACTGCAAATACGTCAGGGAGCTAAGATGTTTTGATCAATCGTAAGCGGCGTCATCAATGACGTCAATGGCCTGGAACTATTAGTATATATATATCTTAACAAAAAGATGATCTGTTTTTGAAAATCCAAAAGTCTTAGCAAGAGATGAGCAGTTTGTTGTAAGTTTTCTAAAGCCAACAAAAGAGGGAGATTTTTCTATATGTTTCTTTTTTTTATTTTATATAAACTATTGAAAAGAAGACATGTCTCAAATTATGAATGTTTCTTTGTGCTAGTTAATCCCACTTTCATATGTAATAGAATACGTATAGGAACGTGCAAGGAATATTTTTAGTTTCATCACGTTTCTATATATCTCATTATCGGAAAAGTTCAAACTCCCTTTTATATATATTTTATGTGTCTTTTAACATCTCTTGCATACATGTATACTGCAGAATAATGTGTGAACAGGCAATTATACTAATATTATTACGCATACTTAAGTATCTCCATTAGTAATGACAGTCTTATGTAACTGTTTATTATTCCTATGTGCGCGGACTTTAGAAGAAAGGCCATTAAACTTTTCTAGCGACAGCTGATTTTAGTGGTCATCCTTAAGCCTATTTTTAAGATATTTTAAATCAAAATGCAGTTACTTAGTGAAAAAACTATTTTCTTTCTATTAAATACACTGATAGATCACAAGATATTATTAGGTGTGTAAGAAATTTTCTGATCCGTCACTAGGGGTGCTTGTTGATTAGTTGACATAGAGCAAAGTTACATTGGGCTATCTGCTATTCACCGTGCGGAATTGAACTCCGGATTTCACCGTTGTTAGTCCGTAAACGTAACGCTTTCCAACCGGAGGATCATTGAGGGTTGGTAAGATATTAGAAACAGAACAAACATCTGAATAAACCTCCTAGTTTTATGATACCTAAAAGAAAAGTGCACAATGCGGATATACCGTTTTGAAGAAGAACCCTGAAAATAAAACAAACAAGTTGAACTTTAATGAAAATTAAAATAGAATACAAACAGACAAAGTGAAATTGCTTGAAGTCAAACTAATAATAAATTAAATCATCAATTAGAATGCACTAAAAAACTATGATTAATAACACAATCTGGTTTTTGAGACAACTTTAAATTTTGAATGCAAGACGTCATAAAATTCAAATATATTTTTATTGAAAGTTTCATTAATACATTAGATTTCTATTATTTGTAACTAGTTCAGACTTTAGATATAAAGGCAGAGAGATAAATATGCATGCCAGTTGCGTAGGTCTTTGTTGACCATGTATGAGTAAGAATGTTTAATCTCACCTTTCTTCGTCGTTTTGATTGTCGTGCGTCCTTGGAACGAGAAAATATAGGTGCTTTTTCTCAAAGCAGCTTTCCTGACAGCTCCAGGCCAATCAGGGGTTCTATATAAGATGGAAAATTCCTGAGTTTTTCTAAGTGACAAGTGCAGGAAGATCAAGCTGATTCGCAATGGATAAATTCAACAAGGCGAAAAATCCCACCTTGGGTCTGTGAAAATAATCAGATTTTCTTAATGTCATCTCTTTGGGGTTTATATGTGACCCGCATTTTACACGTAAATCTAAAATGCTGATGTCAGATTGCTTTTATGTTTTTTGTATGGGTTCATGTAAAGTTCAACTTAAAGTTCCAGAAATACAAAATTTGAACCAAATTATCTAATATTTTTTTAGTAAATGATATATTAACGTGTAATAATCATTTGGAAATAGTTACGTAGGAC